AATAAATATACAAGTTTTTAGCCCTTTAAGTAGTAAATATGGAAATCACCAAACTGTTGTTCTTATAGTTACAATTTATTTATCAATTAACATTAACTTCTGATCAAAGCAAACTACATATACAGATCATAATTAAAAATCAACATGGTAATTAAATACACTGTTCTTATAAAGATTAGAATGCATTGTTCTATGAGTTTGGAACCTTACTGTCAGTAATATTTTCAGCTATAACCCTAATAATATTTCCTGGGTATTTTAGTTATTTTGGATATAAATATAAAGGAAATATGTTTACAAAAGAAGAACATGTCATTAATTAAATACACTGTTTTTATAAAGATTAGAATGCACTGTTCTATGAGTTTGGAACCTTACTGTCAGTAATATTTTCAGCTATAACCCTAATAATATTTCCTGGGTATTTTAGTTATTTTGGATATAAATATAAAGGAAATATGTTTACAAAAGAAGAACATGTCATTACGTTGTAAATGTGTTAATATAACAATTTTATCTATGCTTGACATTATTTGCCCTCATTACCCAAAGAGATAACTAGAACTGAACCATGGTTACAATTTAGTTGTATACAACAGCAAGCTTAGATGTCTTTAAACAAGCTTGGAGTTTCGTCATATTTTTAAGTATTAAGAAGATCTTTAACCAGGGCTGAAAAAGTTATTACAGATTAATTTTAAAAACTCTAATGCCAGCTACTTTTTACTGGTGTTCTAAAGCACAGGAATAGATAAATTATTAAGAAGCAATAAAACTAGATGTCTTTAACAAAGTGCAGAACATCTTTTTGTAGTTAATATTACAAATATAGTGACCTAATACATTTTTTGTTGTGGAAGAATTATTACAAAGAGTAATTTTAAAAAACCTTCTAATAAGGTATAAAGAACAGTTACTTTCATTTATAACGAGTAGTAACCATAGATTACTTTAACTAGTTGTTATGCAGTCAGGTTAATTAATGGTAATCTAATCAAAAGCACCTTAGGTGTGAAAAAATGTGAGGCCAAAAAAGGATTGAGCATGCGACTTAAAGGAATAAAATCAAAATTGACAGCCAAACTGGTAGCTACACTTATAGTATTGATAAGAATTTTACAGCAAATATTCATTAATTTGTTAGCTAGGCCGCATGTTTTATTTTACAAATGTCGCTACTTGTTTGGCCACCAATCTTGATTTCATTCCTTTAAGTTGCATGTTCAATTCTTTTTTTGGCCACACCTTTTTTCACACCTAAGATGTTTTTGATTAGATATCATGGCTTTTTATCAATACACACCAACAAACCACAGCAAGTAAGAAAGTGATGCTCGATAATAACCAACATTAGCTTTAGGTTTCCAACCTTGTTATTCGGAACAGACCTATATTTTACAGAAACAACCAGATTCTTTAAAATATATGGTGGTATATTTTTCCCTCTCTAAAACAGTGTTAATCACTTCCTTTATAGTAACGTCACGAAATCTAGATTAACGGTTTCTTGTCATCTCCCGCATGAATTTGGTACAGCCGTATCGAGCATTGCTATTTATGCTAACTGCTGAAGCTAATATCATTTGACAATAAATGCTCTTTAATTAGAAAAATTTCATAAAATTTAGCAAATTTATGCTTAAAAGTTGGCAATGAATAATGAATAATAACCATTCATCCATAAGATTCTTTTGAATACTTGAGCTAGAAACTGCTATTCTAGTTTGCTTGGTCTACCCAACACTTATGTATCTGCAAGACCTTTCACCCTATAGTTTTGCTACTCTAAATCAACTGTCTTTAATCCAAATGACAAAAAATTAAAACTATCCACTTTTATTTTTAGCTGAAGTAAAAATTTTGCTCAAATTTGAGTGATTTTTGTTCAATGACTTTGCATATTTGGCTTATATTTAGACCAAATTTTGCACTTAACTGTAGACTGTAAAAATCAATCAATGTACCAAATTTTAAAAACATTCATAAAAGTTAAGTATGTTTTTCTATCAACTAAAGTTTCTGTACTTTTGGTGTGAAGAAAAAAAGAAAATAAATAGGAAAAATTCAATCAAAATTGTAGATTTTATATCTCGTTTATTTCTTAATAGATTGTTTTAAAACTTGGTATGTGAAGTAAGGGTCCGATAGAGCACATCCACTGAAATTGTGTGATAGTTTGAATTACCACATTCTGAGCAACAGAAAGTGGAAAATCACTAAACTATCACTCCTGTTAATATCACACAGTGTCCTGCAGGTTGTTTTGGCACATGACACACTACCATGTGTCTTAATTCTAGATGACCTTAGCTAGCTTACTAAACAATCAGTTGAATTAATGAAAGTAGTAACCCTACATGACATAAACAACTTACTGAACAGTTACAATTTAAGTAATAAAACCAGTAAATCTAGGCATTATAACCAAGTCCTCATGACACCTTGGATTTCAGAGTGATATTTCAACCATAATCACATTCGATAGATATTTAAAAATACCAGCATTAATATTTTTTAGTAAATGAAACAGAAAAACATTAACCAGGTGCTGAATGTTTAAAGACAACTGGGATTACTTTGTTACATAAATAAATACGCAGCAAGTTTCAAGAACTTCCACCGATATTAATCGATTCCAATTCATAAACATTTTACAAGAAAGATTGTTAGAAATAGTTGAACAAAAATAAAATTTTGAAATAAATTCTAAACTTCATTGGGCACTGATCTTACAGAATGTTTAAATCTGTTTGTATATTTATTTGAACTAAACTTACCTCCTTGCAAAGGTTTTGTGTCATTTCTCTTCACTGGAATACTGACGGTGATGGTTTCAGATGGTGGACCCACTCCTGCTTTTGTCCATGCTCGCATACAAAAAAAGTACACTGTATTGCTGGCCAAACCTTCAATTAAGGAACTTACTTGAAAACCTGAAATACAGAGATTTAACCCTTTTCAAATATAACAAATTCAAAGAAGTTATGAAACAAGAGACATAGTACACAATTATACACAGAGAGAAACAACTAATTAATACAATTAACATATTACTAAAGCAAAAAATATATATAGTGTGCACAACAAATACAAAATCAACAAAAATAAAGGAAAAATTTCAGGCACTGAGATCTTTTCTCACCTATTATAACATATTATATTTTCATGTCATGTTTCTAATTAATCTGTATATTAAAACAATATTGATTCAGATCTTCATAATCTGTACCATACAAAATTGATTTATTCATGTATAATATATTAGGAAATTATTCTAAAAGCCATTACAAATAATTAGATCCATTAACATCTAACTAGGAATTTTAAAGAAGATTTTTGAAGATAATTGGCAGCTTCCTCTGTTAGGTATGAAAATCAGTTATTTATTTACTTATATCTTCAATACACCTCATTCATTAAAATATATTTACATATGTTTCACTCATAGTTTCTACAAGGATTCTTGTGTTCATTTTGTCAAGTAAAGTATAATTACTAATACAAATTCTTATAAGACAATCTGAATCTACATTTGTTTCACCTTTTTCTTCTTTCTTGTGCCAGTTATCTAGGTTGTTAGTGTTTCTCATTTGCGTGGTGTACAATACTTCATAAAGGGTTATTTCCCCATTTGGCAGGGCAGGGGGATGCCAAAGAAGTTTTATAGTATGAGCATTCACTGCAAGCCATGATAAATCCAAAGGAGGTGAGGGAACTGTGATCAGAAAATACATTTTGCTAAATAGTGGGATTTGGAAAATCATTATAATCAAGTTACATACACAGCTACTAAAGAGCTAAATCACTTCAGAAATTGCCTTAAAGGTGACTAACTTTATTGCTATTCATAAATTATATGTGTCACATTTATTTCCCAAAAGAATTAAAACAAAAAGTCTAAGTTCTCTAAAATGTTCTTCCTTATTTAAATTTAAAATAAATTAATCAACTTGACAAAGCCACTTTATGAAAGAAATGTTTTGTAATAACAGTTAAAAGATCAATTAACTTTTGGCAAAATCTTTTTCCTAAGAGCCAGTTTATGTTTATGTGCATTATAATATTGCTATTACTCATTTACATTTATGAATATGAACTGTACATCACATTGTGTACAAAAGGTTACGTCTTCCATCTCATGAACAACACAATAAAGCTTGGAATTAGGTATGTTTTACACAAATTTTTAATTTCTATGGGAGGAAGAAGGTTTGAAACAAACTGTTGAAGTTGATTCCTTGCTTCTTAGTTAAAAAACTTTAATCTATTCATACAAAGAAGAAACAGAGCATCGCAGATACACAAAGAAAGGAATGGCTTAATATATCTTGTTATTCATTTGTCTCAGAATTTTCCTACAAAGCTACACAAAAGGCTATGCATATATGACAGTCATACGACTGCCTACTCTTGGGCTATTAACGTCTGACTGAATAATGGGATTTGACTGTTGCTCCTATGGCACACCCATGTCTCCAAAGTCAGGAACATTCTTACGCAGCGTTGTGGAGTGAACCACAAATCCTTGGATTCATGGTCCGAGCATGCTTACCACTGGTTCATGCCCAACTTGATTGAAGATCAAAAATAAATCTCGATTTATGGCAGAATTATTTTATGTCAAATTCAAAAGGTTTAAGTTTGCATTATTCTAAGATAATTTTAGTATTAAATACAAAACTTACAATGTCAGTATGATTATAGTGCATGTCATACAAAGATCTTACTCACCAATCATTACCAAAGTATTCAACCAAAACACATTTTCAATATACTTTATACAAATACAATCAGACTGATGTTATATGAAAAACAAAAAAAGTCAGAAATTTTTAAAAATCTCTTTGCCTAAACTTACCATCCTGTAATGTCCTGCATTCCACTTTCTGACTGAAAGGTCCTTGTTGGTTTTTAATACTGTGAGATCTTACAGAAAACTCATACAAAGTGAATGGTGTCAGGTCACTGAGTATCACACTGTTGTTTGTGCTAGAAAAAATGGTTTAAGAGTGAACTTAAGAAATATTGTGTAGATGGGGCCATCTTTTAAAGCCAACATCTGAAAGAGGCAAATATTAAAACAGAAGAAGGGGCAGCACATATTTGAAGCATTCGAAGGCTTAACCTCCCCAAATAAAGTCTCTCATGAGGCATTATTCTCATCAACTGAAAATGTTATATATTATAAGTGGAGAAAGAGAGACAGAGAGGTCAAAAGAGGGTATATGTGATCA